ATACAACGACAGCAGCTGATATTTTTACCGCACTCGTCGGCGCGCTGGACAGGGTCGGAGTGGACTGGTCCCGCGCTGTCAGCCTGGCTACAGATGGTGCGCCCTCAATGATCGGGAAAAAAGCAGGCGTTGTGACAAAGTTCAGAGAGAAAGTGCAATCTGCAAATGGAGGACGTGATTTTTTGACTTTTCACTGTATTTTGCACCAGGAGGCTTTGTGTTGCAAGTCATTAAAGATGGATAACGTCATGAAGGTGGTCATCCAAACTGTTAATTTCATCCGATCCAGAAGCCTGAATCACCGTCAGTTTGACAGCCTTCTCAGAGAGAAAGACCACATCTATGGCCTGCCATACCACACTGAGGTAAGATGGTTAAGCCGAGGTGCTGTGCTGAGGCGTTTTCTTTGATTTACGAGAAGAAATTGAACAGTTCATGGAAGAAAAGGGCAAACCAGTGTTAGAATTTCATTCCGCAGAATGGATGCCGGACCTTGCATTTATGGTGGATGTTACAGAGCACCTGAATAACTTGAACAAACAGCTGCAAGGGCGCAACAAAGTTGTCACGCAGTATTATGACAGCATACGTTCTTTCAAGTTGAAGCTGTCATTGTGGGAGACGCAACTTGCCGGTGGTGATGCAGCTCACTTCCCCTGTCTGAAAAATGTGTGCGCGACCCAACATGTGGCAGACATGAAGCGGTTCAAAGATAAAATAACGGGACTGTTACGGGAGTTTGAGCAACGCTTTCAGATTTATGTTTATATGTTTTTATGTTGATGTGCTATTGTTTTTAATTGTTTTTATTTTATTTGTATATTTAACCTATTCTTGACTCTGTGGTTCTTGCACTTGTTTGGGGAACAGGATTTCATTATTTTTATCTACATTTCTGCCTGAGAAATGACACCCTGATATAGTTCTGTGATCTGTGAAACAGTTCTGTGAATCACTGAGGCATTGTGTGTTTGTGTGTTCTTTGTCCTCAGAACTTTCAAATAACTTGAGGTGTTTTATGATTAATAGTGATGTTGTGTTTTTGGACACTGTCCTTAGGCTCCAGCTTTATGTTTATATGTTTTTATGTTGATGTGCTATTGTTTTTAATTGATTTTATTTTATTTGTATATTTAACCTATTCTTGACTCTGTGGTTCTTGCACTTGTTTGGGGAACAGGATTTCATTATTTTTATCTACATTTCTGCCTGAGAAATGACACCCTGATATAGTTCTGTGATCTGTGATATACTTCTGTGAATCACTGAGGCATTGTGTGTTTGTGTGTTCTTTGTCCTCAGAACTTTCAAATAACTTGAGGTGTTTTATGATTAATAGTGATGTTGTGCTTTTGGACACTGTCCTCAGGCTCCAGCTTTATGTTTATATGGTTTTATGTTGATGTGCTATTGTTTTTAATTGTTTTTATTTTATTTGTATATTTAACCTATTCTTGACTCTGTGGTTCTTGCACTTGTTTGGGGAACAGGATTTCATTATTTTTATCTACATTTCTGCCTGAGAAATGACACCCTGATATAGTTCTGTGATCTGTGATATACTTCTGTGAATCACTGAGGCATTGTGTGTTTGTGTGTTCTTTGTCCTCAGAACTTTCAAATAACTTGAGGTGTTTTATGATTAATAGTGATGTTGTGCTTTTGGACACTGTCCTCAGGCTCCAGCTTTATGTTTATATGTTTTTATGTTGATGTGCTATTGTTTTTAATTGATTTTATTTTATTTGTATATTTAACCTATTCTTGACTCTGTGGTTCTTGCACTTGTTTGGGGAACAGGATTTCATTATTCTTATCTACATTTCTGCCTGAGAAATGACACCCTGATATAGTTCTGTGATCTGTGAAACCGTTCTGTTAATCACTGAGGCATTGTGTGTTTGTGTGTTCTTTTTCTTTAGAATTTTCAAATAAACTTGACGTGTTTTATGATTAATAGTGATGTTGTGCTTGTACTATTTTGGACACACTGTCCTCAGGCTCCAGCTTTATGTTGTATGTTGATCGTATTAAAACAAAGAAAACAATCTGAAGTTGTTGTTTTTAAGTTATATATATACCATGATTTTTCCGGTCCGGCCCACTTGGGAATAGATTTTCCTCCATGTGGCCCCTGAGCTAAAATGAGTTTGACACCCCTGGTTTAGATAATGTATCTCCAGCAACACAGGGCTTACATCCGGTCACTGGATAGGTTGTACTGCCCTCTAGTGGCAGTAGCATTAACAGATATTAACTAAGTCTCATGTTAATCCAATATAAATACAAGGTATTTGTCAATGATCCACTGATTGCGGTCCTCCAGGTTGTAGTCCAGCTGCAGGAGGAAGTGTCCCAGAGGAAAAAGGAAGTAGCTGAGGTTAAAGGTCAGACGAAGCAGCTCAGCCAGGCGCAGAAGGTGGAGAGAGAAGCCCAGAGGAGCCTGAGGAGAGAGGTCCAGGTCTGCCAGGAGACCATTGACTCTCTGAACCTGCAGAGCAACAACAGCCTAGTGGCTCTGGAGTAGATACAGACCAGGGCATTACTGACCTCTCTCCTCATTCATAGTCATCTGGAGCACAGACCAGGGTATGACTGACCTCTCTCCTCATTCATAGTCATCCTTATCATGATGTAGGCACCAATGATGTTGTAACCAATAATGTTGTAACCAATGATGCAATGATGTTAACTATACGTTTATAGATAGTATGCAATGATGTAGTTATGAAAACAGCAGAAAGGACTGCACACTGTCTGTATCGAATTACCACCTTTAATCACAATGTTTCAATCCTGTTTTTATGTATACTTTATTAGCCCAGCACCTACCTTTTTAAGGATGTGCATCTGACCACAAACATTTCTATAGCAATGGTGTAAGGTATTAATAGGAAGGAATACTTAATGAAGGATTTATGAAGAGATTCTAAGTAGATAAACTATTAATTATCGGTTTGTTTATTAAGTCATAATAAACCTGGTTCCATGTCTTCCAGCATGAAAGGTGAGATTGAAGATCATCAAGGCTGTGAAAGCAGCAGCTCCATCACCACAGAAGAAGATCTAATGCGAGAAAAAAGCAGCTCCAACACCACAGAAGAAGATCTAATGAGAGAAAGCAGCAGCTCCAACACCACAGAAGAAGATCTAATGTCACACACAGTGGAGGAACTCCTGACAGCTGCAACTGGAAGGGATAATTTTGAAGTGGGCGTCCTCCATGCATTTCAAATAATAAACACTTATGGCAATTGTACATGCTTTTGTATTCGCCAATCAGAATGCTAAAACCAAACATAGACTGACCTGCACCTGTTCTGATAGGCCTATTTAATCTAATCTCCAAGGTTACACTAGAGCAGAGTAAAGTCATTGAGTGTGAATCAATTCACTAGTGGCCTAGGTTTTTTGTTTTATTTAGCAAAACATATTTTTTTTACAAAATAAGGTACACTTGCTGAATGTATGTTGATTATTTTCACAATATTAACAAATGTACAAGTGTTTTGTGCCATTACAAATTACTGTACAGAAAAACAACAAGTAATGTAAAATGTATCAGATCATTTAAATAGAATTTACATAGAATTTTAATTCAAGCAATCATCAAACCAGTTTTGTTAAAAGGCACAAGTAAAGACTGTTCATATCACATTTGATTTTTAAATAACAGGTGAATCAAGATCACAGATCCCAGTAACGTTGGCTGAATACAGCCAACTCCTGATAAATCCACATTGGATTAGTCAAAATTCAAGTGGAAATGCATGCAGTTCATTTTATCCACGGCGCTGTGGATATCTTCACGCTCCAGTTCTGGTGTGTGGCATCCATGACACTTCATCTGAGTACAGTGGATGGTGATCATTGATGATATTGCACGTTTTCAATGGTACACTTTCAAACTCAGCTCCCAGATTAGTGCAGGCTGCGAGATGCGACTGACATTTTACGGGTGGGGAGAGAGCGAGAGTGGGGGGTGGACATGGAGGGCGCATGGCTTGAAGCACTGAACATCATGATGTGAATTGGAATGTGTGTAGGCTATTACTAGCATCAGAACTTCACTGAATTACATAATTATATACTAGACATTAGGAATATTTTTGGAACTTAAAATAACATTATATAAACCGGTTTTCAAGATTTGTAAATAACAGTTCTGTTCTTTTGTTCCCAGTTCAGTTTCTGTTTCATGAAGAAAATGTACATTTAAATAATTTAGCAGAAGCTCTTAGGGTTAAGTCCCTTGCTGAAGGGCAGATCAACATAATTTTTTTTTCTTCCACCTAGTCTGCTTAGGGATTCCAAACAGCAACCTTAGTCAGCTAGTCGGCTGAGGGATTCAAACGGGCGACCTTTCAGTTACTGGCCTAACGCTGTTAACCGCTAGGCTACCTGCCGCCCAGTGGTCCTCTCTCTGACTCACTCACTCACTCACTCTCACACACGCACGCACACACACAAACACTAAAAAAGAATTCATACACACACTTAACAATAATTTACAGATGCAATAGAAACAGATACAATTCCTAAAATGAATCTGAGTTTTTTCTTTTTTTCACTATTATTAAAACTATGTCCAGTGTAGCTCAGTTGGTAGCGCATGGTGTTTGCAATGCCAAGGTTGTTGGTTCAATTCCCATGGGGGACCAGTATTAATGAAAATGTATGCACTCACTACTGTAAGTCACTCTGGATAAGAGTGTCTGCTAAATGACTAAAATGTAAACAGCTCCAGCTAATATCACTGTCATGGATGCCACAGCACTGCTTCTAGCTGTTGAATGGGATAGTTGTGGTCCACACTCTGAATCCGACCAAGGGGATCCTGGTTTCATTTCCTGAAGTCCCAAGGATTCACATCTATAAACAGATAAATACTGGCCATTAATGATTCATTTATAACTTGGTCATACATCTTTCAGTTTTAGATGTGTGTTAGGTAACTTTGTATTTAGGGTAAAAACTATTTGTGTAAGCCACACTTACCCAGTGTGTGACTGGCAGGCTGTTAATGATCCATCTGAATAAGTATCACCAGTACAGTCAGAACACACAGTATCTGTAGATGTTGTTCCTGCATAAATGGAGGTTTAAACATACGTTTACATTATTAAAAAACAAGACATCCCAAAACAAACTTGTAAACATCGTACTTAAACTTTCCCCATGTACTCTTCTTGACTTATTTTTAATTCTCTAATGATTTCAATCAATCAATCAAACGATCAGCTACTTTTAATTCAGTAGAGTAACTTGGCACACTAGAAATCATGACAAAATCATGTTGAATACTTGAGAGGAGACCAACCTGTGTGACGGATGTATTGACCAGGTTTACAGCTGCTGTGTCTCTGGGCTATTCTACAACCATCTTTGTCAGAGAGCAGACAAAAGAACCCCTCCAGTGGCCCGCAAAAATCATCTGATTCTGGTTTGCATGGCTGTTTTTACCCTCAAACCCAAACCTATGAAGAACACATTGCATTCATTATCTGAAAAAAACATATTAAGCCAGTCAAATGTCAATCATAAATCACATCTGATATAGCCTGTAGCACATTACCTCAGTATTAAAGTCTGGCTATTGTATAAATACAGGACAACTCTCACCTGAATCACAGCTGGAACATGGTGCACATTTCATGAGACCATTGGGCTCATCAAGGAATGTAGAATCAATACAGGACACACAGGAGGTGCTGGTGAATTCAGTACAATGCTTATGTACACGATTTCCTGGGGAAGAGAGAATCACAATGTATGGAATTTCTATTGGTGTTGATCATTTATGAACCTATGATGATGATGTAAAGAGAGGTTCCTTACCTGGTGAACACATGGGACAACATTCATCCCCTATTCTGTACTCGGCTCTACCACATGCAATACAGGATCCGATGCTTACAATCACCAATATATTAGGTATCTGGAAGTAGAGAAATGTTAACAAATTCCCAAAATCAAAACTGATGTGTATTTATATAACTTAAAGAACTAGTTAGCACAATTCAAACAATATTATTCTAATTTCAAATCAATGTAAATATGTAGGACCATTTTATACAGGCAGTGGGACCTGGTTTGAGCCCCAAAACAGGTGTGGGGGGGGTGTCGGGGGGGTTTGCCTGTTTTGCATGTTATTTTGGCATTAATTCATGTCACGTATCCGTTTGCAAACAATGTAAAAAAAAAAATATTGAGTTAATAAAGCAGCATACAAACATGCTCTCTTTCTCTTCTTTGATTGGATGTCACGCCCTGGCCTTGAGAGGCCTGTTGTCTTTAGTTGGTTTAGTCAGGGCGTGAGGATCTATGTTAGAATTTCTATGTTAAGGATCTACAGTGAGGGAAAAAAGTATTTGATCCCCTGCTGATTTTGTACGTTTGCCCACTGACAAAGAAATGATCAGTCTATAATTTTAATGGTAGGTTTATTTGAACAGTGAGAGACAGAATAACAACAAAAAAATCCAGAAAAATGCATGTCAAAAATGTTATAAATTGATTTGCATTTTAATGAGGGAAATAAGTATTTGACCCCTTCTCAATCAGAAAGATTTCTGGCTCCCAGGTGTCTTTTATACAGGTAACGAGCTGAGATTGGGAGCACACTCTTAAAGGGAGTGCTCCTAATCTCAGCTTGTTACCTGTATAAAAGACACCTGTCCACAGAAGCAATCAATCAATCAGATTCCAAACTTTCCACCATGGCCAAGACCAAAGACCTCTCCAAGGATGTCAGGGACAAGATTGTAGACCTACACAAGGCTGGAATGGGCTACAAGACCATCACCAAGCAGCTTGGTGAGAAGGTGACAACAGTTGGTGCGATTATTCGCAAATAGAAGAAACACAAAAGACCTATCAATCTCCCTCGGCCTGGGGCTCCATGCAAGATCTCACCTCGTGGAGTTGCAATGATCATGAGAACGGTGAGAAATCAGCCCAGAACTACACGGGAGGATCTTGTCAATGATCTCAAGGCAGCTGGGACCATAGTCACCAAGAAAACATTTGGTAACACACTACGCCGTGAAGGACTGAAATCCTGCAGCGCCCGCAAGGTTCCCCTGCTCAAGAAAGCACGTATACAGGGCCGTCTGAAGTTTGCCAATGAACATATGAATGATTCAGAGGAGAACTGGGTGAAAGTGTTGTGGTCAGATGAGACCAAAATTGAGCTCTTTGGCATCAACTCAACTCGCCGTGTTTGGAGGAGGAGGAATGCTGCCTATGACCCCAAGAACACCATCCCCACCGTCAAACGTGGAGGTGGAAACATTATGCTTTGAGGGTGTTTTTCTGCAAAGGGGACAGGACAACTTCACCGCATCAAAGGGATAATAGACGGGTCCATGTACTGTCAAATCTTTTTTTTTTTTTTGGGATGGATCAGCTTAATATTGCAGATAGATTGTATCTTCTATCAATGTAATTGTCTGCATCACTTCCAATCCCCCATGTTTTTTTTTATTTTTTATATATATATATTCCCCTTTATTACTTTTCAACCCCACCATCCTTTCCCTACTTGGAGTAAATTAGTGAACAACAACGCCCAGGCCTCTACTTCCGGTCTATACTTACTATCTACACCTTATGGACAGAGTTAATTTTACAATAATTCTATATCTATATATATATATATATATATATATATATATATATATATATATATTTATTTATTTTTTGCTCCTGAACTTCTTCTACTCTCAACCTCTCCGATCATTTTCATGATGTCCATCCGGTTTGCTTCTAAATGCCATATCTTTCTAACTGTGCTCTTTCCCAAAAGCTCCCAACATACAACCTATATACCTATTATGGACACAGTATGCTTACATTATTAGCTATCTTTGTTATTATTTGTTGTTATTTGTTATTAGTCCCATCCTTCAACTCTATTCAATACCTCCCATCTATCTCTTAACACCATCCATATAGGATTTCTATTTGCCATATATATTTCAACCATACTGTGATGTTTTACAAAAGTTCTGAACCTTTCTATTCTCATTGCTTCTACAGATTGTGAATTAAAAATAAACATTTTTGCTAAAAGTATTATTATATTATTGATTGATTGACTATGACTTTTCAGATCACCCAGTAATGCTATCTGCAAGGTTAGTTCCAGGTAAATATTGCAATCCTTTAGCCATTCCTGGACCTGTGTCCAAAAACAAGCTACAAATGGACAGAACCAAAACAAATGATCTAATGATTCTATCTCTTCACAGCAAAATCTGCAGAGCTGGGAAGATTGTATCCCCCATATAAATAACATTCTATTGGTAGCAAGAATTTTATATAATAATTTAAATTGAAAGATTCTAATTTTTGAATCCGGTGTCGTTTTGCGTGTCAGTTCATAAACACTATGCCATGGGATCGGTACGTCAAAGATCTCTTCCCAACTATTTTGCAATCTATATGGGACTGCTGTCAATCCTTTGGTCCTTAAGTGAAACTGATATACTTTTTTATTTATCACAGTTTTCCTTAACCAATTATGTTCTTTAATGCATGGCCGACAGACAAGTTCCTTACTTTCTCCCCCTTCAACATTCCTCTTCCACTTTTGCGGTAAGGCTGCAATTATTTGGTTGTAATTTTGGGTAGAGCAGACATTTCCATATGTTTTTATTAGCTGCATGTGCGCCATAACTCCACCAGTCCTACCGATGATATCATTTACGAAGATTATACCTTTTTTAAAACATTCTGTCAATAAATAAAGGTTTTTTGTCAATTAGTATATTTGAATTTAACCACAATATTTGTTGCATTATTTGTTCTGTCGTTTCTGGAGGATTAAATTGAATTGCAACCAACTTTTTTGG